TTTCTGATCGAACGAGAAGTCAAAAATCGAAGCATTTTTACTGCCCCAAAACGTGATGACAGACACACAAAAAAAAAAAACACACATCATGGTAAAATCAATACATTCATCGCTCCGCTCAGAATCTAAAAAAATTAACGACCATACGCATGATTCTGAGGTTTAAAATTGAAGTAGAGACTGCAATTACAACAATTAAGACACTTGCACTTCAAACAATGGAGCCTACATCAGTTGCACTAATAACAAACGAATGTGTTGGCCCTATATCTGAAGCAGTTAAAGTAAGTACAAATTTTAGACAGCTTTTTATTGTTRTTAGGCCCTTTAGATCTAGCCCGGTTTGAGTCTCTCTGATCCAAAACAAGCATTTTTTGCACAATAATTTGAGCACTTCATAATTGCTTGAGAAGGGTTCAAACAAACCCAATAATTTGATATCAAACTAATTGTTGGAGAGAGTCCCTCTACTAAATTAAAATAATATACTGACTTAAACCTACACCGCACCGAAATGTGCGATTCTCTCTGATGACATCTGATAACAAAGTACAGTACAAAGTTTAGTGAAAAAAATAGAAATATTTTCGTTACTTTTAAAAAGAATTTTCCTATTACTATAGTGCATAATTTTTATTTTCTCAATGGACACAATAATGTAGTGGTTTAAAAAAAATATTATCACGCATTTAAGTTACACAAATTTTAGTTTTTGTAGTTATAACATTTTTCAAATTAATTTGTAGAGTTATATTATATCTTCATGTGCTGCTTAAAAATCATAAGGTATTTTTTTTAAATATATGGAATATTTAAAATATGCGGATTAATTATTTGCAAATAATTTTCGAACTTAACACACTAAAGTTGTCAAGTGACTTGTGTGTTTACACTAAAATATCTTAATTGCCTAATTTAAAGTACTATATAAATTAATTTGAAAAATGTTATAACTACAAAAACTAAAATTTGTGTAACTTAAATGCGTGATAATATTTTTTTTAAATATATGGAATATTTAAAATATGCGGATTAATTATTTGCAAATAATTTTCGAACTTAACACACTAAAGTTGTCAAGTGACTTGTGTGTTTACACTAAAATATCTTAATTGCCTAATTTAAAGTACTATATAAATTAAAAATTGCAATACAGTTTGTGGGATAATTGTGTAGGTATTAAAAATATAGTTAAAGTTAGAATTTTGATTTTGTTTATAATTTTACTTTACATATTTTTTATAAAAATAAAAGTTAACATTTGCCAAAAATTATGAAAACTATATAGTATATAGATAGTAAACTAACTTATACTAACGAATTTTCAAAAAAAATATTTTCGAAAATGTTATCATGTTTTAAATTAATTTACCTACTCCAAAAAAAAATTTAAAATTGAACTACCTGCTTGAATTAAATAAACATTTTTTAAAATCAATGTTTATAAATTTATAATTYATTTGCTTTTTTGATATTCCATCTAACAATATTATCATATTTTAGAATAAGTTGTGGTTTTTATTATTAGTTATGATAACATGTTATAAGAGTTCTATAATGACTATAGAGGGCGCTAGTAATACGTGATTTTTTGTCAGATTTGATGAAAACATTGAAAACATTCAGTGCAAATCCAACTAAGGCCTATTTGAAACCATAAACGGATTCGTGATCCAAAGCATAGGCCATCCATTCATTCATATATGGTAATACGAAAATATAAAAATATAAAATTTTTGACGTTATAATGGTTTATTTATTATTGATAAAAAAATTTATAACTAAATAATAAAATAGTAAGAAATTAGAAAATTATAGTTTTTATTAATTTCTAAAATGTATTAGCTCAAATGTTCTATAAAATATAATAACATTAGAATCTTTTATTATATATGTTTGTTACATAACCTTTTTAAAGCCTTTTATCGTCTGCTTCTCTTGTAAGTTGTAATTATATATCTTTCTCTGTTCCCCTAAAAAAAAAAAAAAAACCATGGCACCTCACGGAGAGCCATTAAAGGCTTTTCCTATCCATTCTTATAGCATCTATGTTCTTTTGCAACCAACAGTAAGACTAGTAAGAGGGTTGTTTGAATCGTGCTAGTAAAATTTCGTTTCTTAGTTATAACTGTCGCTTTCTCTGTCWTTGTCCCGTGCGAAACAGTTTTTGCTGTTAAACACTTGTAACATGGAGACAATACATGCGGGATGTTGCGTCCTCTAAGTATTATGTATGTATACCTAATATAAATCTGAAATCTGAAAAGATATCATTCATTAATAGTTTAATCTTAATCAATGTAACAACCATGAACTAATATATATCTTAGTGATTAAACTACGGTCGATTATAATCTACCGTGGTCAGTGGATTAAACTAAATACAATTCGTATTTTCGCGGGAACTCTATGAACGGTCACGTTGTGTGAAATAGGTTGTTTACGATAATTCAGTAAAATTGTGCGTAGTGTAACACTGATAGACCGCAAATATCAAACAGCCAATCAGACCGCATTATAGCGAGTAACTCGCCCTCTTCTTACACAGTACAACTGGTGATTGAGAAAACACGTGTTTTGTAGAGACGCTTTCAAACAGCTGAAGCTARTGATTATAACATCAACAAGTTTTGATCGAATGCGAATGATTCGAATGTCGATGATTGATTAATTCGTGCTGGAAGTGTGTTATTGTTGCGGATTTACTTTTGCTTTTTTTTTTTTTTTGTCAATCGGCTAACGAGTTCAAAGACAAAATAAATTATGTCATTACTCTCAAGTTAATTGGACCACAGCACGAACTAGGTGGGCAGGTACAGTAGGCAACGGTGAAACAGAAATAATTTGTTTTGCAGTCGGTAACTTAATGTAGTTAACCGACATGCTAAACTTATGAATCGTCATAGCGCACCTATACATACTAAAATATTAAATAGTAGATAAATGAAATTTTTTCATTCTTGTTGAATTATTTTTATTTTCTAGATCATAATGAWTGACTCTAGTCCTAATGTGGAGTCGCTGTACAATATGGCATTAAATCAATTATGTCATAACAAAGATATACCAAGTATGTTAAAGTTATTACAACCAACCATCAGCTTACAAATTATATGGAAGGTTAGACTTTTTTTCTTACAAGTAATTATATTTTGTCAAAAGTAACTATATTTGTTTTTTTTTTCATGTAGATCTTGCGTGTCAACAATGGTAGCAAAGATTTTATGTATAATCATACGCTCCCCGATAAAAACTCACTCCAAGAGCAGTGTTCACTTGATCGAGGACGTGAACTTGCACATATTACATTAATGAACAATTATTCAAATTCTTTCTAYGATTTAGATATGAGAAGATCAGAAATTTATAAAATTCATGGAGAATTTGCCATCACTCAACAAGTATCGTTATTAAATTTTTCTTTATAATATATAATTATTGTAGTTTAGCATTATTCTTTTCAATATATTGTAAATATTTAATGAAACAATAGGTTGAATCATATAAGCAGGAATATTTACTTATATAAGCCACCTAGATGTATTCAATATTTTTTCTGTATATGTACATATTGTACATATACAATAATGTACACGACATATGTATACGACCGAGATTGTGAATACATCTAAATTCAAACCTACTTTTTGTTATGCAATACTTACAGACTAGGTTCATGTAAACTTCACTACAATTACTTTTTTTTTGTGTAAACTCTGCCAGGAAAAAACCGGTAAAATTTGGTTCATGTAAACATAGTCAGCAAAGACACTCAAGTGATAGTAGAAAACTAATATAATAAATTATTATTAAAAAAATAATTACAATTTTTATTATAGTAATTTCCATGCTAAATAATAGTTATGCATAATAAATATACTAAAAAATGTATACAACTTAAGAATAAAGTTAGTAAAAATATAAAATTACTGACCAAACATCCAAAGATTACAAAATTGATATAATATACTCATAAATTCTATTAATTATGTTCACCCTTGTTATATGATTGTTAGGTATATGYTGAAAATATATACAAAACTTAAAAWATTTAAATATTATTTGGCCAAAAAATTATATTAACTGTAATGTGTATTACATCTAATAATCATAACATTAATTCTATCTAGATATGTTTTGATATAATAATTTGAATTGTGAAGTAAAATTATGTGATGCTTATATTTTGTTGATATTCTAATTTCAACTATAAATCCATTATTACAATTTATTATTAATAGCATTTTCTAATATTATCAATATTATATTATATTAATATTATTAATTATTATTATTATTAATTAATTAATATTATTATATTTWTATTAATATTATTGTTATTTTAATTAAATTAGTATCAAGTAAGGACTTAACACTGCTACTTGCTAGAGTTTACATTCTTAAAATTAATATTTCTTGGATTTCACAAAGATATATTTCTTTCATCAAAAACATTTCTAATAAATCTAATCTATGTAAGCTGCATACAATATGATAAGAATTTAATATTAATTGCTTTATTCTTAGTACAAGTAGTTAAATTAGTATTTAAATTATCTATATTAAATTTACAACCAAGAAGTTGGGACTCATAAACCGTTTGAGCATAAACCATAGGTTTATTTTGTTACATTATTTTTAATATTTAGTTATAAATTTAAAGCATGACAAACAAGTTCAGCATTTTGAGAAACCATTAAGCCACATGTTAAAAAGTAGTCATTAGGAATTCCCCAATTTTCATTTAGACAGATATCCCCACAAAAATCAAGCCTCTCTAAGTTAGATTTCTCTCTCAAGTTAGAAAACCTCTTTGAAAGCTATTTTTACTATTTTTTTCTAATTATAATCAAACAATTTGATTAAGTGTGGTCTAATCTTTGTCACAAACATTAAAAATAAATCCTTGTTGATATTCTTTAAAACCCAAACTATTTTGTATAAAAATAAATGTTTCAATTAAAATTAATATTAACAAGATTATATTTTGCATTAATTTTATGCATTAACCAATTTTTTACAATTCATTATAAAATGCATAAAACCATTTATAATTATTTATTATTGGTYACTTTTTGAATATTTTTACATATACAGTTGTAATCATTTTTAATTAAATATTAAATATCCATAGTATGTTAATCTTATTTATAACACGTAAAAATATTCAAAAAGTAACCAATAATAAATAATTATAAATCGTTTTATGCATTTTATAATGAATTGTAAATATRTATTATTTATTAAAATTTGAATGGCTCTCATTCAGTAAATTTTGGTTTTAGAGCTAATTGGTCAAAAAGACCTTCAAAAAATTCAGTTTATCCGAATTTGGTATTGAAAATACCTGTTGCTATTAAAAAAAAAAATAAGTTGTCTTGCGCATGCTCGTTCTGAGAGGGTTACAAATTTGAAATTTATCTGGAAATGTTTATTTATATACCACTAGCATATTAAAAAAATTAAAAACATAGTGCTGTAGGTATTATAGGTATTTCTATATTTTGGTATGYCTCAGTCCATGTCATTCACCTGTGACGGAATGGATATAAGCATATAGCACTTGATATGTATTGAATTATGATTCTGACTACTCTCTAAAGTTTTTTGATATCTCTCATTTAGGAGACCTCCAGTGAGTTACAACGTATAGAAGAATTATATATGTATATTGTATAATGTATATAAAAAATATAATTTGTTGTATGAAATGATTTTTGGTATACATCTCATTTATATTTATTATAATTAAAATKTAATATTTGTTGTAATTTTATTTTTAGACCAAATTTGTTGATTGTTCAAGTTTTTCTTATCATTTTGACTTGGAATTATTGTTAAGATTGGTGAATGTTGCCAATTGTCGAGGGCAACTTTTTACAATATTTCAAGTAATTACAGTTTTACTTTTCAACTTCTGTCTTATTAATTAATAATTATTCAAAAATAATCTTTTTACAGATTTGTGTACAAATGAAAGGACTTAAATTTCCAAAGGAGTTATCAGATGAATGGATGAAAATTAAAATACTTGATAGCACTCATGAAATAATTTTTCATCGAATTGAACAAGGTCTAAAATTAGGTTTGTACATTACATAGATTTTTTTTTATTGATGAAAATCTATTGAAATTGTGATTGATGCRTAGGAATTTTTCTTGGTGATGCCGGCTGGCTAGAAGAGTGTGCTCAAGTATTATCTCACACATACAGAATAATTACCACAAAATGGGTTTGTCTTGATAAAAACTTAGAATTGTTGAAAATTACCCAATGCCTGACTAAGTAATTGGAAATCTTAGACTACAAATTATTTACTCTCAAATAATAGTTGATTAAACGAAAAAATATTTGTCCATAGATGGTTATTAGTGGTGTCCAAGTTGAATAAATATGATGAAGCTAAAATGGTCTTAAAACATATGACAAATACTATTGAGATCATTGAAAAGAAAGAAGAAAGAACATTTAGTATGGCATATGCTTATGTGGCGATTTCACAGTACTATTGTGCATTATTGGAATTTGATAAGGTTTCATACTTRGAGATTTATTCAATTTTTTTTATTCTTATACTAAATAAATATTTAGGCTTGGTYGTGGGCAGTTGAAGCTATCAATGAACTTAGAGATAAAAGTAGTAAATTCTTGAGGCTGCTAATTGGAAATCATGCCATTAGGGTTTGTACTGTGTTGAACAAATTGAACACAGCTAAAAATTTGATAAATCAATTGCGCACATTCAAAGATAAAATGTATCTGAACAATCATATTGAAATGTTATTAAATGAAGCATTCTACTCAATGAAAGCAGAATTGACAGAAGAAAGTATTCACAGTTACTTGGTAAGCATCTTTTGTAATTAATATATATGATAAAAAGGGCTCGGATTTATATGTAAATATATATTTTTACTGTGACTTGATAAATTAATTTAGGTAAGTGATAAATTTGTTTCAAGGGATTTCCATTGTAATGAACTATATTTTATTTTACATATTTTGTCATAAGTACATATTTTTACATATCTATCAATAATTCCATTTTTCCCTACATATTTCGACAATTTACRATTTATTAATAGTTGTATACGATGTATTCGATTTCCCATGTTTCAAAAAGTACGTAAACAAAATAATACCAATTACCAAAACAATGTATTATATAAAAATCCTGTCTTAGACTGCCTATAATTAATTAGAGATACACATTGCGAAATGAATGGGGTAATATTTCCAGCTGAACTCACTGCTTTGGACATTGCAACTATGAAATTTGCACATATAACCTCGGTGGAATTCGAGCGCTCCTTCAGTCGGTACAAATCTGTGTTATGACCAAACCGTAGATCATTTAACTTTGACAATTTGAGCATGTATGCATTGCTTTCAAGATCAAGATCAAGATAAATAATAGTAGTAAAATAAGTAAATTAGATAATTGTGTGATTTATAAAACTATTTTTTTGTAATTTTTTCGTATTCCATATTTTCATTTTTTAATCACATATAAATTGATTTATTATTACATATATATTTACATATTTTGGTTCTTTTAATACATATAAATCCRAGCCCTAATGATAAAAAAAATTAAAAACTGAATTAGAAAATTATATTTTAGATTGCACTAGACTGTACACGGAATTTGTTTGGTTACTTTAATTTAAATACTGCAATTGCTTTAGTTGATTATGCGTATGCTCGATATTTAAGCTATAAATCAGTAACTGACTATAATGAAGCTATGTAAGACAATAAACTAAATCATTTAAATGCTATTTAATTGTATGGTTATAAATTTAACATTTATTTAACAATCATTACTTTTTAGGCAGAGCTTGGAACAAGGCATATTTATCGTTGAAACATTGAGTTCACCATGTTCAATGAACAAAGAGTCATACACCTATATGTTACATGTTAATATTCAACGGATAAAAGCATTAATACTAGAAAAAGCAGTATCATATGAACTAATGGGAGATGTACATAATATTATGCAAATTAATATATTGATGCCAGGTCTGTATATTTATTATTTATTAATTTATGTTATATCCTCAATATATACCATTGGTATAATACCAAAAAACTGAAATACTAAACATTAAATCTATAAAATGTATTATGTAGATTCAGCTTATCCCTTTATTTTATATTGCAAAATGACAAAATCTTTTTGAATTTTAAAAGTTTTCATTTACAACAGTTAAATTTGCAGAAGATATTTTAACACTTCAATTTGAATTTAATAATCGCTGTTGATAATTCAAACAATGTTATAGTTGAATTAACAACATTTTTTTTTATAATAAATAGTTAATTATTAGCAGGGTTTGGGACTTATAGCATTTGCATATCCTTCATAGGTGATGTAAAACATAACAGAGTGATCTACAAATACGTTTTGCAGTACAGAGAATTAAAATATGAAATTTTATTTTGCATATTTTTGCATATTTTGGGGGTTTTTGCATATTTTAAAGGTTAATGTTTGATGGTTAATATAATTGTTCAAAATGTATTATTTAAAATGTTGAATGATTAATTGCGAAAATTTGTTTTGTAGTAATACTATTTGTGTAGTTATCTGTCACAAAAATGAAACACGTGCATTTGATTTATAGATACCTACTCAACAAATCGAAAACCATGTAGTTGGTTAATTGAAAAACGTCTGATAAGCGTACTTATCTACAGGCTACATTCGTATCGCTCGGCAATACGCACGGCAATATTTTCAATAGTCGCAAACAGTTTATTTTGCAAGGTGTGTGAACAAAGGCACTAATTATATTTAAATTACAAATTTTTTTTATATTTATATGATGTAAATATAAAAAAAATAATATATTATATATACCTATTTATTAGTATAAATTATATCAAATAAAACTTTTTTGTTAATGATTTTTAATTTTTTTTTGAAATTTTTTAGTGCATTTTATTTTCATTTTCAGTGCATATTTTTAAGTTTATTAGGTCATATATAAGCGCATATTTTAGTGCTTTTTAGTGCTATAAGTCCCGAACCCTGATTATTAGTATATACCTAATATATTATCAAATAATTAAATTTTGATCATTTTTRAAAATAAGCATATTTCTATTAAAKATACTTTAATGTAACATTTAAACAGTTAATATTTTATTCTAAATTTATTAATCCCTTTAGTAATAATAAAGGAACAAAAAAAAACATTGTTTCAGGAAATGAAGGAAATCGACGGTATATAAGACATACGACGATGCCGTTGTCATCAAGGAAGAAATTATTAATTCAAGCTGAAAGTATCCATTCAAACGCTTTAGAAATTACTTTGAAAACAGTAGGAGTACAAACTCTGCTTTCAGCAAAATCATTTAGTAATTTAGGTCAAATTTATCAAAGTCAGAAAAAATATGAAGTAATGTTTATATTAGTTTAATATTTTAATTACTAATAGATTTATTAATTATTTATATAAAATAACCCAGTGACTTCCTTAGGTATTACAGGGTATGCTTACGTGTACCTAAAATTTATCAACATTACATTTTGATCTAACTATATTTTTTTTTGTACCGTGCAATTTGTTGGTCGGCAACTATGGTCATGTGANTTTATATTATATATTTTATGTTTGACTGAGGATTTTATTAGTATTAATTTTATATATGTATAATATTTTTAGGTACAATAGTATCTATAAATATTAAAATAATTTAGTTTTAACTTAGTATACAATAATATTTATAATATATTAGATTATTAGATGGGAAACATATAAACATTAATTATCAAGTGTAGCGAAAACATTTTTTTTTTTTTTGATGATAAATTTATAGTTCAATACATATTATCCTACCTAATTATTAGCATACTTTTCAAAAAGTTGAAATGACACACTTGAAATAACCATGCCCTTTGTTATACTAGTTGCTAAAATTGTTTATCTTTACAGGAATCCGAAAAAATGTATTTAAAAGCTATTGAAATAAAAAGATCGATTTTAGATGAAGACAATGCAGAAATTGCTATATCTTTAGGTAACTTGGGTTGTTTGTACATAAAATGGCAAAAAAAATTAAAAAAGAGCAAACTACTTCTTTTGAAATCTTCAAAAATGTGTAAGTTATTATTAGTTAAACTAAATCATGTATTTTATTAAAAAATTATTAAATTTTTTTAATTTAGTTATAACTAATTATGTGTACCAATACAAAGAATTACTACATGTTTTGGAAGGATTAAAATCACTTTTTATCACACAATTCAATCATGATGGTTTTAATCTATGTAATGATCATCTCATAAAAACTAGGTTATTAAGAAAAGCTTGGTTACTTCGTTTAAACGCTGCAGTTGATGAAGACTATACAAAGGATGGTTTAAGTTTAGAAAATTTTAAAGCCATATTAAATAATATTGGTTGAGACAATAAGTTAAAAATTAATTATATATATAATTTAAAAATAATTAATTTATAAATGTAAATAAAAATTTGTTTTGACTTGTTTATACGATCAGATAATAGTAGTATTTTTATATGTTTATAATTTTAATTGATACCTAATCAAATCAATATATTTGTGTTATTACTTAAGGTATTTCAGAAATAGAACTTAAATGGAATATTATATGTATATTAAATTATAGAAAATAATCWATGAACTGTTATTTTTTTGGTTGTATTGCACATAATTATTTATAAGTTATTATTTATTTGTCCGTTGTCCGTTGTACAAAAATACAAATATTCAATAGTGTAAAAATGCACATAGTTTTTTTTTCTCTGCTTTGAATTTTAATGTTGCATTTATTTTTATTCAATAAAATGTATATACTTATCCACAAATTTTTCTGAATTTTATAAAAACATTTTTAACTTAGTAAATCTCATCATATTCAAATCCAATTCAGTTTATTATTGATTCAATATAATCTATAAACAAATTTAAGCAATTTTACAACTTAAACACAAATATTGTGTTATTTAAAAAATGTATTTTCTTTTTTCAATTTGAAACCCCTGAAATAACTATGCATTTGATATACTTGTAGCTTCAATGTTTATCTTTACAGGAATCCTAAACAATGTTGTTAAATATTAGAATACTAGAATTTAACAAATAAATAAGTAATTATTCTATGAAATTTTATGTTTTTATACTTAAAAAATAAGTTGTAAAACTATAGTATTTTATAGATAAATATACACTCTGTAACAATTATTTTTGCATTACGTTTATTATTTAGGAATTAGAACTGATAATGACGATGAACTTGAAGGTTTTGGGGGCTGTTAAAACAAAGATAAGAAATATAAACCTACACTTCTCTGTTTCATTTATGGCTTTCACTGGTGTAGTATTTATTAATACATTAATATTTCATAGTTCATACAGTTTACGCTGTCATTAAAATTTAATAGATATTTAAATATTTTGAATGTCACAGGTTCCATCGGTCAGTCGCTCGTCCATTTAAACACATGCATTTTCTCGACGCCTCRTTAGTAATTTATTTATATCAGGGTTTTTTTTTAGTGTGCAGTGAGACACATTTTGTGCAGTGAAAATTATTACTTTGTGCAGTTCAAAAAAAAAATATCAGCTAGGGTGATAGGATATATTATTGTATATTATAAAACAATAATTGAGTAAACTTCAAAATAAAAAAAATAAAAATGTTTCTATTAAAATTAATAATTGATTATAATATTTGAGTATAATAATTATAGTATCTTAATATAATTCCTTATTATTTAATATTTATTCAAGTATTGAAAATAACCAAAACTGATTTTTTTTCTCATATCTATAGTTATACGATTCCCTTCTGTATAGATCTTGAATATTATGTATAGAATATGTCCCTTTTTATACTTTTTGGTATTAAGTTKTAGTKTTTTGGATCTAGATAATCTATGATTCAAAGTTTTTAATTATATATATAGTAGTTATTTTTTAAATACATACTAAAATGGTAACACATCTAATAACTTAAAGTTTCCTTTAGTTGAACCAATTAAAGTATTTATTTACTTAAACATATCCTAACAATTTTTCTTTGTAAAAGCTGTAGTGGTCTAGACGCATTTTGATTTTGTAAAAATTATCATTTTGACTATWATATTTTGATGTAAAAGTATATTACAAAAATTATAAAGAAATTAGGTACCTACCTACCTAGTCAATTGATTGTTTTTATTTTTATAAACAATTATTATTACAAATTACGTATTTCAAGTAAATATTTCTTAGTAAGTATTATTACTTATATTTACAAACAAAATTTAAAAATTATTATTTAATTCAATTATTAAAAATAGTGCATTAGTATAAAATGATTTATTTGGTATATTATTCTGAGTCGGGATTTATATGTTTTTACATAACGTTTTTGAGTAGGTACCTGATGTAGTCTTATGAAAGTAAGAAATGTAGATAGTACAGTATACAGTAGGTTAGTAGGTATAGTATAGGCGTATAGCCAGCACAGTTGACAGGGGCGGCTCCAGAGGCGTGATTAGGATTTTTTTCAGACATTTTCAGAAAATGTCTATGATTTTTTTTTGGTAATTTTGTTTTTAACAGTATACAATTGTTTAGAAATACAGCTTTGGGGGGGGGGAGACTAGAGCCACCCCTGATAGTTCAACGTATAATGGTCTGTAGGGTTTGGTCAGCGTAGACAAATTCCCTACTATAACGCAACAGTGGGAACAAGTTTGTGCAGTCAGAAAAAATCATTAAAAAAAACCCTGATTTATATATTAATTTACAATACTCAAGAAAAGCTCTGAAAAGCGGTTTCCATATTATAAAAGCTTAAATATTTAACTACAACCAGATACCAGATTTTATTGAAATGAAAAATATTAAACATAGGAAATGTTTATTTTATCCATATTTTATACATATTTTTGTTTATTCATATACTTACACAAACAATAACAATACGATTGTAGTTAATGAGTTTTCCAATATACCTCTGTATACTACGTTTCGGCTACATTTGTTATCTGTAATCAATAGTATTGCAATTCGTTGAATATTAGGTACTTTGTGTCCCCAAATGTGTGTTCTAAAATGTCTTTAAAACCATATAGTTTTGAGCCAAATTTGGTGACAGTTATAGATTTGAACCAAATTATTCTATATCATATTTATCGGATGTTCAGGCAAGAACCTAAGGAGAAATATATGAGGGGTGTAATTGTGAAAATTGTCGAAAGATTTTGAATGAATGTGTTGTTCAGAATTTGATAACGCAAAAAAAAAAAAATATTGGCTTCAAAAAAATGTGTTACTTCTACTTCTTCCTTTGAAAAAAATATCATAAATGAATAAATATTGAATATTATTCAATAMCAGATGATTATGAAAACTAAAAATAAATTGAAGAAAAAGTAATTGAGCGCATCAAAACGTTAAAAGTACCGAATTAAACATAGAGATATATTTGTTATGTTCAGTTTACTCATTGGGTTAATTCATGGACTTCATTGGGAAAATGTAAATTTAAATTAAAATTAATTTATGCAAAAATGTAATCACCCCCCATAAATCATAATCTAAGAGTAGGTACACTATTCCTTTAGCTGTGTTTAAAATTATATATTATAAATTTATAACCTATTGTTAGATAGGTAGTTACGTTTTAGTACAATAACTAAGTTAATTTTTTTTTAGGACAAAGAGATGTCATTTCTGCTTATTGTGTTATAATAAAAAGAAATAAGTACCTACTCTRAAAAAATATCGATGGTTTATTGGTTTCAAAAAATCAAAAACGTATCAATTACTTTGGCAATTGTATATTATATTTATTTTATTTAATAAATAATCATACCTACTAGGTACAATAAATTGTAATTTAACCTTAAAAATAATATATGATTAATGATTAAGAGGACGTTGCATCCGCATATTGTGTTGTCTCCGTCTTACATACGTACTACATATCAAATTTTCGGTTAGGTTTTCGTTAAATAAAGAAAAATTATGATATAGGAAAAGGTAGGTACCTACACATCAATTGCGTCGAACGATATTTGCACGTTATAAATTGTGTGCGTCAATTATTGCGCTGATCGATTCTTAAATATATATAAACGTCTTAGGTTAGGTCTTATACTGTTTCTATTATAACTACGATGTAATTAAATTTTTTTTTAGAAAAGTAAATATTGACACCGAATTCAAGAAGTCCCTGAACTCTAGAAATTCCAATTCACAGCTTTAATGAATTGTAAATTAAAAGATAAATTTTAAATAATATATTGATTATCAATATCTACTAAATTTATGTATAAACTAAAATTATGAAAATTAAAATCAACTAAAACGGTTTGTGCCATTCATCATTAAAATGCTCCAGGGCAATTGATGTATACCTTTTTAATATACCTACCTCTTTATCCTGGTGCAATAGATCTATATTATACAGGTAATATAGTGGCTCAAATTCAGCGCATTGGACGAACACCGATATTATGTTGACAAGCAAACAAAAAATAATTTCATGATTTAAGTAAAAAGTTCAAGATCATCRGTAATTTTTTTATATTATTTATTTTTGAAACTTTGAATACTTTGTCAATCTCATTTCATCAACATTTTATTTTGGCATTGAAACTATATTGGTTGGAATTCAAAAATTGACATCGATTGTTCTTGTTTCTGTGTTTAAATTATTACCATTTTTCACATTAATTTTAACATTTACAATTACAATTTATTGCCAATTATTTGATAGATTTTTGTAATGATTTTTTCATGAGTAATGGTTTTGAAAAAACCAACTATCTCCTTCGAGTGTTTAATTTTTTAATTTAACCGTATCAGTTATCAGTAAGCAATTTTTGTTCAAATGAAATAATTGATACCCCATTATTGCAAAATGCAAGGGCTTAAACACTTATATGACTATAGTTTATAWTCWATATTCATATTTACAAATCGGCATCGGYGATGGGGCCACCGAACTGTACTATAATTTACAGTACAAACGTAGGCGTTGGCTGAATAATAGTGGTAAACTGATAACCGCCACAGTCATCATGGTGTGGATGTCGCACCCTCTACCCCGCGTAAATAGTAAAATTTAAAACATAAGCTTTAATTTTTTCGATATCGCTTTGTTCGATTTTTTTCCGCTAGATATCTTCCTCAGTTTCTCGCTTCTTCTCACGTTCAGCGAACCTTCTTAGTCATACCCCTCCCCTATTTTTAGTTGTGCTACTGCCATTATCCATCTGTAACTCACTAACTCTTTTTTCATAATAATGTGTGTGACGTGTGTACGTGCGATATCCCATTATCTCGTTCACGACTAACCCTTTTTCATACTATTTTTCAGTGTGTTATGGACATCCGGTTAGTGTTTTATATGTCCAGCGAACATAACACGTTTATAAGTTAGATCCTTGAAACTCAATCCGTAAAATGTCGGTAGGTAGCTATACTAGCTAACGAAATAAGAATACCTACTTATTTGGTTGCTCATTTAAACATTATTAGTAAATGTTAATAAAAGATGAATGGTTTACAGTATTTAATTATTACACGAATTTTACACGACTGTTACTAATTCCATTGAATGACAATCGTGTAGTTACTATCATGACAAAATATTTTCTCATGGTTACTATAATCATTGGCGTTAGCTAGGGCGAGTTTTCAATAGGCGTATCGCTCGCCATTTGCCGACAACCGCAAGGCCAACCGGACACGTCACCACTGCGGGTCGACTGGATGACTCGGTGTTGCCAGATCTGTTGGTGTTTTGAAAATTGTTTGTAAAATTCCGGAATTTAGCCCATTCGGGGTTTACTTTTTAAAGTTGTATTAATCATATCGAAAAACCTCGTACATCCGTGTTTTTTAGTACGGAAAGTGCTAWACATWGCAAATTTACACTTAGCAGATCATGTGTAGCTTTGTTAATTTAAAAATTAGAGTGAATCCACCTCTTACGACACTTGATGGTAAGAATATTATTTGTGTGTGTAATTAGGGTTTTTTACGATAATTCAGTTTTAAGTGAGTTATTGGTATTTTTAATTAAAATGCTATGTTATAAATGCGAGGTTGCTAAAAAATGTAACTATTGTAAAAAACCTACATACAAACACAGATAGTGTTYTTAGCGTCAAGTTTCATAAGAGGTCGATTCACTCAMATTTTTAAATTGACAAAGCTACAGGTGTATATTTGTAATGTTGCGCACTTGTAAGTTKTAAGAGAGGGACAGGTTAGGTTAGGTCCTAATGTCCATGTAATATCCTCTTAAGTTTATATCTATAATCTGACAATATTTTGGTTTAAATGGTGAAATCAGTATTATTTTATTTGTTTTTTGGCGATATTTCATTGTTATAATATATATGGTTTGCGATATCTGATGATTTCTGGAAGAAGTATTTGGTGATTATTAAATATTTGACTTGGCAACATTGCCTGACGTAGATTTACCACACGGCGCAACGTGTCGTGTTCTCATACTACAGCTGCAAAGCGAACAATCCCATTTGGCTACACAGCAGCGTTCGAAGTCGGACTCATTATCGTCATTGCACCACAACAACCTACTACAGTTCTGTTTAAGTTATATTGTTATGAAAATATAAAAAATCATTTCGTGACKGGTAAGTGTTTAAGTACGACATTATATTCGTCGTCATGTAGTTATAATTTATTTTATAATTAAATAATTAATAATAGTAATAATGTCTTCAAACTTGGTACTGATAGCAAAATTGTTCGTTATTATTCATTACAATTCATAAGWGWGAATGATTTATTAAAGAGAATATTTGAATTTGAATTTAAAAAAATAATAAATGCCTGTAAAATGTTTTCATATTTATTTTTCTGGGTGTGTTGCGGCCAACGGTCAKWGACGTCCKCGGCCTCTTACGAATAGTCCCGACCTTATTGTTTTTGTTATTAGTAGGCATTCTTTAGTTTCACTGCATTGTAAGGTGTTGAAATTTTGGGTAGTTAGTTTGATTAGGGTCCTATATTAGGTAGACGGTAGTGAAATATGTGCATTTTCGTGGCACACTAGCTGATGTAATAATTGCGTGTATTCGTGTGGTAATATAGAGTTCCGTTTAGAAACATAACTGTGTTTGAACACTTGCGGTTGCGATGAGCYGATGAACGACTTGTGCGCCATTCAGTTGACTATACTCTATATTACTATATAATTATAATATGTATATATTTTTGTACATCGAACAAAACATTTTCGTTTGTAGCTATCGTAATTATTGTTTTGTTGCTGACTGATATTAAGCTTAGGTACAACACTGKGTTCTAGCCACTGTGCCATAAGCTGAAAACGTAATAAACTTATAAATTAAAATTTCCCATGAACACTGTTTCACAAGATTTAACGTAACACTCTGTTAGATGATTACTTAAACCTTATCAACTTGACGTGCTCCAGCTACCGCATTGGATTGAAATATTTAATTCGTTTGTTTTCAATATTTATATTGTTAAGATATAATCGGGGTTGTTTGAAGATTTCTTAATGTTAAAAGATAGGTAATGAACTAGTAATAATGTAATATAATAAAACGTATCAGCAATCTTCATACCATTTAATTACATATATTATTATTTTTTTAATAAAAGGAGGATAATGGCTTTTATACTATCTACCTATAGGACCATTGATTTTATATATTACTATTTATGTCCAGCTATAATACTGTGTCAGTTTATTAGTATTCTTAGTCTTGCCTCACATTTGCATAATGTGTATACCTACTTTACATCTTATAACCATTTAAACACTTGCATTGACTTGTTCTTTTGTCTAGTAAATTATATGGAAAATATATTTTTATTTATTTGAAATAATAATAAATTTTTTATTTTTTATTTTTGCTTTAGAAAATGAATATAGAAAAATCAAAAAATGTCGAAATCACTAACTCAATTTCCCGAAAAAAGGGAGATAGAGTCAGGCTCAAAAAACAACTTGGTCTCTTAGAAGGTGTTGCCATCATTTTGGGTATCATATTTGGATCAGGTTAGTAAATATTTGTCCATAATGTTCAATGCTTATTTATTTATTTAATATAAAACAATTACCTAAGTACTTATTACTAAAATTGTTAAACTATTATTTAATAAAATAAAAATAATTGAACATGCTTCAAATGTTAGCAAATAAAAAAAAAAAAAATTATAGTTAATTTAAATATGCTTAAAACCATTTGTATTTTGTTTAAATTATTTTTGATTATAATTCAAAGGTTTTGTTTATCTTCAGTATCTATT